CATCATCAGGTAAGGGGCTCAGGCCTAGGACAGACTCACAGATAAACATAGAAAGCCAGTTAGTTAATTTTAAATCCTACTCAGAGCTGCTTCATAGTGGTCTCCAACAGTTTTGGGGTTTCCCATCTTTCCAGTGTCTTTTTTCTGTTTTGGGGGAATTCTCTACATTAGGACTTCTGAGTCCCTGAACCACTTTCTCAGCTTCCCTTGCAGGTGAGGTATGAGCACATGACTCAAGCGTTGCTAACCAGGTGCACAATAGCAAGTTGAAAGTAAATACCATAAAGATGGAGCTACTCTGCAGAGCTCTTTCAAGCAGTGATGCCAGGAGACAGACATCCTGCTGTTGAAAGCAGCTGTGACACAAGTTGGCTATAATATTCTATGCCTAGTAACAGGAGTGTGGGCAGAGACACAAGCCCAATGGCTATAGCAATACCATTCCCACCAGTATGTTTCATGGTCTATAAGTTGGGTATCACTCTCAGTAGACTAAGCCTCTATGCCTCATTCTCTGGCCCTTCTGAAGATCAGCATAGCTCTTAAACTTCTTCAACAAATTTCTCCTTTTCCTTCCTCTTTTTTTATCTTTTTGAGGCAGGGTGTTTTTCAGGTTGACTTCGAGCTCACAGTGACCCTCCAGCCTCAGCAAGGTGCTGGAATTATAGGTGTGCACCCCCATGGCCAGCAATACTCCTTTTTGCTTAAACTAGCTTGGGTGGGTTCTGTTTGAAATTCTGACAGATAACCTAAAGTTGTAAGCTTTCATTTCTCTATTTTTAAATGCTTTCAAGGGTTCCAGGTGTAGCTCAACAGTAGAGGACCTGCCTAGCATGCCAGAGACTCTGAATTCAATTCTGTGCTAAAAACAAACCAACAAACTCTTAAATGCCTTTCTTTCCCAAATTTATATATAACTGTGTAACTGAACTATGAAATACAAGAGATTATTCATACCATTAGGGCCCAATATTAGAGATAATAAGATTTGAGGAGTTGTATTTACATTCAGGTCCTCTCCATGCTGTTTTAAATTTCTCTGCCTATTCCCATCACTCAGAATGTGCTGCAAACCTGGTGAATCTTAATTTAAAAAAGAAAAATATTTGGTAGTCATAAGTCTTCTGGCAAAGTGGTGTCTTCCCCGGACAGTTCCCTGATGCCCAGTGGCCAGGCTTAGGTCAGTCCTGTGTGGGGCTAGTGCCAGCACCAGCCTTGGCTTGCAGCTAGAAAGCTGGCCCTCGCATCTACCAGATCTCCACTGACTGACTCTGGCCTGGGGCTATAACTCTTCCTCTCCCAAAACCCTACCACATATACAGACACAGGTGTATTTGGCTTTCAGTGACAGACTTCTATTTTGTATTATTTGTTTTATGCATTAGCTTTACATTTCCAACTAAACAGCTAATCCCAATGGTACAGGAATCATATCTTATGTTTCCTTTCTTATTCCTCATGGCACTGAAATGTCCTGAACATTGTAAGGGTTTAATAAATATTTGCTGATTGATTTCTTTTATTGGAGCAGTGGAGTGTAAATTACGTGACTGTGCCATTTCTCTTTAATATCTGTGGGTGTCTCTGTGTGGGGGTACAGTAGTATCTGAGCATTGTAGATACCCTCAAGGCATGGAGTGGGCAGTCAGAAAAGCCAAAGATGCACATCTCCCCCTGGGTGAGTAGCTTCCCTGGGTTTGTCATATAGAAATTAGGGGCATGTAACAATACCCACTCCAAACATCTCCCAGGATTATTGGGAGCTTTGTAAAAGATAACATGTACTTAAAGCACTTGTGATTATTATCTAATCAACATGAAATGGGACAGATAGGGCATTAACATTAGTATATGCGAAGGGGATCATTGTTGACTCCACTGATTTTGGCCCCACCTGCTAAGGATAGTGGGTTTTATTGCACTGATCTGTTATCTTTCTAAGTGTTTCTAGGCAGCAGGCCTACGTAACCTTCCTCTTCATCCCCCACCCCAGGCCAAAGCCACCAGTTCTTCCTCAAACTTCATAACATGTCAATTCAGAATCCAACTCCCTGCTCCACCCTCCACTTGGCTCAGGTCCCTATCTTATAGTTTCTGTCTCTTCTTGCCTCACATGGACTGCAGTTGTTGTCTTAGAAAAGCAAGTCAGATCACATCACCCCCCACTTTAAGCTCCTTTATTGGACTCATGGTGTATCTATATGTAAAGAGGAAAGCCCAGTTATGAGGATTTTGTAATCAGGAGAGAGGTATCGTGTAATCAGGATGTATGACCTGCGCTAGAGAGGTGGAAAGATTTGAGAAATACATAAAACATATAAAACCAACCTCTCTATGTTTGTGCATATTGTTATAGGCTATGTGAATAATAGCATAATTATATAATCTTGAATAATAGTATAATTTCTTCTATTAACCTATGCAATAAGTATCTTCCACACATTTATCATTCTAGGGACTGAAGATATGAGAGAACAGACACAGACCATAATCACTGGTAGCTTGGTCTTTGAGGAGAGGCTGAATAGGCATATAGATAATAAACAGGAAGTCAAGCAGAGGCAAATGTTAGTGAGGTAGGAACTTCCTGAGATAAAGGGGAAACACCTCTAAGGAGGTGATATCAGGAGCCAGTTCTGGAGAATAGTCTATGTAGAAAAAAAAAAGTAAGAGCACAAATGTTTGAGAGGGCAATCGTTTGGTATATTTTGAGAAAAGCAAGCACATATGAGTGCCTCACAGTGCACTGGGGCAAGTCTTATAGGATGGAGCAGAGAGGGAGGCGGGGACCTTAAAGCCTTTGCAGTCATTATGAGGGGCTCTCATTTTATCATAAGTCAGGAAATCATTGGGTGGCCTTGAGCCAGGGGAATATGTCACAGCACTATTTATTTATTTATTTATTTATTTGAGACAGGGTTTCCCTATGCAGTTCAGGTTGGACTTGAGCTCATTTTGTAGCCCAGGCTGGTCTGGAATTTGCAAAGACCCTTCTGCCTCAGCCTCTGGAGTGCTGGGATTACAGGCGTGCACCACCACGGCAGGCTCAGTTTGTATTTGGAGACTACAGGGCTCAGGGTGGAGGTGGGCAAGACCTGAAGCAGGATGAGGGGGCATTGACTCTCCTGTGCTCCTTGGTGATATGGATAGGAGGTGTCAGTGCGGAGAGAGGTGGTCAGCCCCTGGATCTCCAACAGGCCATACAGACTGCTTGCTGCCCACTGATGGGTGTGAAGGTGACAGGCAGCAAGGAATCAAGGATGGCTTGAGTTGGAGGGAAATGTCATTTTCTGAGACAACTGGAACAGCAAAAGATTTGGGAAGAAAAATCTACTTCACCTTTGCATTAAGTGTGACATGCTAGTCACTTCAGTGAAGATGACAAATGTCAGTTGGAGGGATAGGCTGGAAACTCTGGGAGAGGTTAGTTGTAGATTTACTTTTGTGAGTCACCCATGTGTTGGAGATATTACCAGTCATAGGGCTGGGAAGGATCATCCAGGGAGAGCCAGTAACCAGATCAGGGAGTAGGGTGGAAGGCAGCTTTGGAATTCTACAGCACTTTTCAGCAGAGACCACGGGGCTGAGGAGCTTGGGGGAGTGTGGCAGGACTGGAACCCAGCAGAGCAAGAGCAAGGAAGATGTTTCTGTGTCTGGATGGAGGATGCGGTCTCGTCCCCACTGTCACCGAGAGATGGAATAATGCCAGGATGGGGAAAAGACAGCATAAGATTTGCAGCGTGTAGGTCATTGCAATTAGGAACAAAGTACTTTGGACCCCATCCTGACAGGCAAGGGACGGAAGGATGGGTATTTGGTAAGTTTTGCTGAGAGGCTGAATCATGGATAGTTTTCCCTGTTTACCCATATAGTATTGTTGTTTTCCAACAAAAAGCATTTATTTCTCATGTAAAAATAATGTCTACACATATTGCAGAGCACTCCACTGAGAAAAACTCTTCTGTAGAACACGGCAGACCTTTCCTTCCTTCCACTGTGACTACTCCAATCCCAGGCTTATCTTTCTCCACTAGTATCAATCTCGTGTTTTCTGAGGTTTGTATTTCGTTGCCACTCCACCAACATATTTCCCTTTGGAGTTGGGTGCCAGGCACTAGGTCTGGCTGGGGCTCCTGGTCTTCGAAGCATCTGTAAGCCACCCCGCCCAAACGAGTCCCACACATGCCCAGATCATCCAGTTACACACATACCATACACCTAGTTTCACCCACTTATCAGCCCCACAGCTGCAGACAACGTCTCTTTCCCACCATCTACTTCCCTGGCTTCTAGAAAGACGTGATACTATAAAGGGGAAGCGATAGAGCCTTACATCAGAGGCATATGGGTCTTTTTCTCCATCTGCAACTTGCTGGCTGTGTGATGTTGGGAAAATTTAACATTGCTGTGCCTCGATTCTGTATTTGTAAAGCGGGGTTGATGAAACTCACATTCCTATCAGCGATGTGAGGGGTAGATGGCCAGACCTTTATAATCTCGGTGTAGAGTAAGCAGCAGCTAAGGCGGCTCACTTTGCATCAGCGATGCGTGGACAGGTCGAGCCAGAATAGGCTACAACAAGGATGCTTCAGATGTGTGATGGAGCCCCTCATGTGATCCCGCGACACCAGACGGTGTATCTCTGCACAGGGTGTGTGCTAGTCCAATGACTTGTCTTTCCAGTAGTCCCACCTCTCCTGGGTCGGCGATCACGCGCCCCCCACCCGTAGCTGGGGCTGACGCGGCTGTGGCTCATGCGCCTTTGCGTCCCAGCTTCATGCCACGGAACACACGTCCCATCCTGAGCGCCAGACCCCGCCCAGCGCCCCAGGCGCGCCTCTCAAGCCAGCCGGCTCGGGTGTCGGAGTAGCCGCGCCCGCGGGTCGTGCGCGCTGATTGGCTGTGCCGCGCCGATGGGCGGCCCGCGGGCGCACACACCCTCTCTGTGCAGCCAATAGGAGAGCGCACGTCACTGAGCGGGCGGCCCGCGAGCCGGCAGCCTTTCAATAAGCCACATTGTTGCACGAAACTCCAGCTCTAGAGTCCCGGGCCACTAGCAACGCGGTGTCACTCAGCTAAGAAGATTCGCTCGCTGGGGCATCGTGCGAGCGAGCCGGAGTGGTCTGACTGCCTCAGTGGAGCCTGGCTGTGATTCTCCCCAAGTGACCCTGTAGCTGAAGTTAGCGGCTCGACACTGGATAACCAAACAAGTCGCCTGGAGTGATACTTAGGCAGTTTCTAGCAACCGTGACTCTAAAAACGAGTTTCTAGAGACCCGAAACCCCACCAGCCGGCCCGCAACCGCTATTAGCCTGCTTGGGCGCCGCCTGGGACCCCGGTTTCCCGCCAGTCAGCAGAGCCCGGGTACAAAGCGGTCGGACCGCGCCACTCTCCTGCCCCGCAAGCCTCTGCGCCTCGGTTTCCCAACTCCACGCCGTCTGGCCGCAGCAGGATGATCGCCTCGCATCTGATCGCCTGCCTCTTCACGGAGCTCAACCGTAACCAAGTGCAGAAGGTAAGTCAGCATGTGTCGCTTTCTACAAAGTTGTGTGGTCTCCCGGAACTCCCGGGTCCTGCTTCTTCCTCATTAGGGTTTAGGGACGCGGAAAAGTCGGGTATCTGGGAAACTCCGAGGCAGGAGGAGCCACGTCCGCTAGGCACTGGCAGGTTAGCGCGCGCGTGCAGTGCCTTCTCGCCCCGCGGTCCTGCGCGCTCTCCCCATACTTTTTCCCCCCCTTTTTTCTGGAGGGGCGCCGGCCGGCACGTAGTCAAGGACTGCTGGGCCCACGTGGGAGGAGCCCCCCTTCTGAAGCCCGAGTTCCGGCGAGAGCACGTGGGGAGGATCCTGGCTGGGGGAGGAGGCTCTGTGGCCGCGTGACGGCAGCTGGGGGCCTCCAGCGCTTAAGGACGCATTTAGGAAGCGTGCGGTTTTCCTGTGGTTCCTCATCGCCCCGCGGAGGCGGACCAGAGGAAAAGCAGACCCTGGAAGGAGCGGGAAAGGACGCAGAGGAATTCTGCAGACGCGCCCCCTCCCCGGAACTGAGGCTTCCGGAACTGAGCCTTGGCGAGGGGCGTCCTTTCTCCCGCGACCCGCCCCCCAGATCTGCTTAGGGACCGCCCCGCGTCGCGTCCGGGAGATTTGCCCCTCATCTGGGGGCGGATTTTGGACACTTTGATTAGCACTTAAAAGTTACTTGGAAAGGACCACTCCCTCTACCTCAGCTCCCGTTTTCCCAGATTTTTTGAGATTTTTGTTCTGAAAACGAGATTTTTTTTTTTTTTTTTTCCTGCTGGAGGCCCCAACTGTCTGCTGCTACCTGGCTCGTGCCACCCCACTCAACCCAAGCTCACACTGCGGCCCGCCGGTCATTTACATAAGAAAGAAGAGCCTCAGGCCTAGCCGGGGTTCTCACACTCCGTGCCTCAGGGTGTGGAGATGAGGGTGGGTCGGAGCCAGGCTCTGGGCTCTCAGACCCGAGGGGGAGTTCAGATTCTGAAATGCCCAGGATCCAACAGTCAGCCGGAGTATTGGCTAGGGATTGAGGAAGGGGTTGGTGGGGGATAGAGGGGTAGGGTTGGGGATTATTTTAGGGCAGTGTGGCTACTAGTACTGAGTGTTGCTTAATTGCGTACTTGAAATTTCAATGTCTAATGGGAACACATTTTAGGGAAAGTGTCTGGACATCATGCGGTGGGTCTCTATCTGCTATATACTCCTGGTGGTCCTGGTCTCGTTGGCGAGTATGAGGAGTTACCGTGTTGATGTTTCCAGAGCGGTGGAAGATAAATCTCAGATTTGAAGGGAGACTCCTGGTTTAGTTGAGTTTTACCATTTATAATCTGTTACTCTAATTTCTACTGGCGATGTGGCCCTGCACTTCAGTTTATTTAAAATGTGTCTTGAGCTGGCAGGATCTTGGCAACTTCTGTATGTTACTCTGCCCAAGATATGAGTTAACTCTTGGGGGGAAGACTGTCATCTCTTGGCAAGTCCTAACGTACAAAGTGGAGGATCATTAATACCAGGGAGGTCTTCTAATTTGGGTGGATATTGCTCCGGGACATTTAAGTTCTTTCACAAACTGACTTATTTACATTACTCCTGTGTGGCCGGGGAATCCTGTCTCAGACCCCGTGTGGAAATAGTTTAGTTAGGGTACCTGGAAATGCTTTATAAGCTCCATGCACAGCAGGACCATGTCACCTCTTTGGGAGTTCCATTTCTCTTTGCGAAACTTAGAGGACCGAATCCTTGTCCACTTTATGGGTCTGTGATGGTTGAGTACAGTGATGTGAAAACATCTTTCCTGGAGGCATCTTTTCTCTAAGACACTTGCTGTCAGCCACCTTTCAACCTGTGAAGTTTCCCTCAAGACACTTGGATGTATTTCTTCTAAGTTACCAATGGGGGCAGGATTGAATAAGGTCTTTAATCATCAGGATCAGGCCTGGGATTTAGACTCCCAGTGTAGGTGAGTAAAACAGGCTTAGATGTGCAGAGCTGTTTGATTCCAGCTCAGTGAGGAAGATGAGAATAGGATATTTTGGGAGTGTCCTGATGAGTTGCACCTGGAAGGAAACAGGGATCACCAAAGCTTGACTTTTTTAGTCTTTCAAAAAGGCCTCAGTTTGGATTCTTCTGAAATCCGGTTGTGATGACATCAACATATAGTCCGAGGACATTGAAGGTTTAGGGAGATAGTACCATCTGGCTCCTAGGGGATCAGCCCAACGTTTCGTGGCATTGAGAAGACAGTGTTATTGTTGTTTTGCCAGTTAAAACTTTGGAACTCAGGAGCAAACACAGAGCATGTGCTGTGTATTGACATGAGTCCGTTCATTAACATTGAAACAACTCCATATTTTGTGCATCCCTGTTTTCCTGTGAGGAACTGAGGCACTAACTTACCCAAAGTCACCGGTTTTGATGAAGAACACTGTTTATTTTTTCTCTTTTGTAAAACACCGTGCTCCTAGCCACTTGCTCACCTGTCTCTGGGGGCATTAGGGGGCACCTGGTGTGTGTTGCTCATGGGTGCTGGCAGCATTTCCACCCAGTAGGTCTGGAAGTGAATGAGCTCTCCTGGGTTGGTCCCTGGCATCAGTACCCACTAGCTAATTCCCTTTGGAAGCCCTGGATTCATTTTCACCATCTTTCCTTTGTCACTGCTACATCTTTATCATATGGTATGTGGGTTACTTCAGAGGCTTATGTGGCTTCTTTTCTAGTCTCTTTCTGGAGCCAGATTATTTCAGAAGCCTTCTATAACTCTGTTGGCTACTGCAAGCCACATGGCTCTACCCCTGTTCTGTCTCCTCTCATCTTCTGTCTTTTCATGCTCCAGAGGCTTGAGTCACCATTCTTCTGTTACACCTATTCACATGAGGTCATTCTGCCCTTACCCTTTCTGTGGCCCTGAGTGTTCAGCCTGACTTTTATTCCATTTAATTCCCTCCTCTCAAAAGCTGCTTCCTCTTTCAGTTTTCGGTTTCTATTTCACCTGGATGCCCATGTTGCTGGACTTGAATCTTTCAAGACATTTGTTTCATTTCGGCATACATTAGAGTTGGTAGTGTTCTGTTCTAGTTGCTTCCATAGGGCAGGGGGAATCCTGGCTATTCAGCTGTGTCACTGGTGGGTTCGAGGATAAAGGAAGGGATCTTTGTGGAGAAAGAAGCAGAGCAAGGGATGAGTGTGTAGATGCCGTGAGGGAAAGCAGTTCTCAGGGCTAGTCCCTGAAGCGCCCCCTGAGAGGGACAGAAAGGGAAGGGGAATGATTCCTTCTCCAACAATCAAGGCTTGTATCCTGTCTGTGTGTATTAATTCACTAACGTGAATTAGTTCAAGATGCAAGAGTTTTTTTGTTTTAGGAATAAGAATCAGACCCGAGTAAACCACAGAAGTGAAACAAAATGTGTAATCCTTTCTTTTGCCATTGATCAAACTAGTGCTGAAATCTGGAGGGCTTAATTAGGCTCTTTACTTTCTACTAAGGGTTGACCTTTAGCTTGCACTTCTGTGGGGGCTGTCTTAGGAGCAGAAAGATTCAACGCAGCCTCTAACAGTCCAGCTGGACAAGAACTTTAAAGTCTTTTGAGAACTTACTAAAGGTTCAAGGCCCTCTGGGTGCTATGTGAAAAACAGAAACTAAGATGCCTTTCAGATATCTAGAGAGTTAAGACTCCAGGAAAGATACCTTTTGGCCACTAAGTCTAAAGAGGGCACATCATGATGGCTTGATGGAGAGTTAGACCTCAACAGAACCTTGATACATTTGAACACACAGTGAATGTTATTAAAAGTAGTAGGAGTAATCAGATTAAAATCTTGAGATTACTAGGATAGTGATTATTATTTTGAGACAGCATCTCTTGTCATGTAGTTCAAGTTGGGTTTGAACTCCCAATGTAAGTGAGGCTCCTCCTGCCTCAGCCTCCAATCCAGCATGCACCACCATGCCTGGCTAAAAGCCATAATATTATTTTTGACTGGGTTAGTTTTGGCTAGGTGAAGTGTCATTGACAGGTATAATGTGTCATTTGTTCAATTTGTAACACCTTACTTAGTGTCTTTGATACTACTCTTTCCCCTCCTCCAAAGGTACTACTCTTTCCCCTCCTCCAAAGGTAATGGATGGTATTAGGAATGTTTGTAGCTCTTGCTAAACAACCATCTTTTTTAAACATCACTTTTCATGTTCGTGTGTGTGTGTGTGTGTGTGTGTGTGTGTCTGTCTTTTTGAGACAAGGTCTCTCTATGCAGTTCAGGCTGGCCTTGAGCCCCTTTGTAGCCCAGGCTGGGCTCTAACTCACAGTGATCCTCCTGCCTCAGTCTCCCGAGTGCTGGGATTACAGGCGTGAGCCACCTTGGGCTCACTTTGTAGCCCAGGCTGGTCTTGAATTTGCAACGATCCTCCGGATTACAGGAGTATGCCACCACACCCAGCAAAACTTCACTTTTTGAACATTTCCAGCGCCCAAGCAGTTCAAGAGCAGTTAGTGGGCCTTTTCTAAGGAAAATCAGAGCAATATAACCACAGAGTTAAAATATGGCAGTGGGAGTGAGGAAATAGGATGTGCCAAAAATTAGGGCACCCAAGAAAATGAGCTTCCTTTGTTCAGACATTTCCTGTTTAAAAGACCAACTCTTTGATAAGAGGTTGCTCATTATCACTGGAGTTTTATTCTTTTTTTTTCCTGGTACCAGGAATCGAACTCATGACCTCAGTTTGCCAGGCATGCACTTATGCAGCTGAGCTAAATCCCCAGCCCCATCACTGGAGTTTTAAAGTCAGCAAATTTGGTTTGTTTTCTAATACTGTGTATTGACTGTCACGGCCACTTTAGAGCAGGAGAGGTGAGGTGTGGTTAATCAAATCCGAGTTCACTAGATGATAACTAATCCTACAATGCACAAGGTAGCCCACTGGGTTAGCCATGATGAAGTAACTACTAATAACAGCTGAGAAGAAGAAACTTTCGTTCACTTTCCTCTGGGTCCATTGCCCTGGGCCT